ATGCTTGAGACAGCCTCTTACCTGAGACAGCAGTGTTTCTGCGCCGCGGGTACTTGAGACAGCCTCTTACCTGAGACAGCAGTGTTTCTGCACCGCACGTACTTGAGACAGCCTCTTACCTGAGACAGCAGTGTTTCTGCGCCGCGGGTACTTGAGACAGCCTCTTACCTGAGACAGCAGTGTTTCTGCGCGGTGGGTGCTTGAGACAGCCTCTTACCTGAGACAGCAGTGTTTTTGTGGTGCGCGTACTTGAGACAGCCTCTTACCTGAGACAGCAGTGTTTCTGCGCCGCGCGTACTTGAGACAGCCTCTTACCTGAGACAGCAGTGTTTCTGCACCGCGCGTACTTGAGACAGCCTCTTACCTGAGACAGCAGTGTTTCTGTGCCGCGGGTACTTGAGACAGCCTCTTACCTGAGACAGCAGTGTTTCTGTGCCGCGCGTACTTGAGACAGCCTCTTACCTGAGACAGCAGTGTTTCTGCGCCGCGCGTGCTCCTCGACAGCACTGTCTGGTCGTATTCGTCCTGCAGTGCGTGCAGCTTGTGAGGAATGCACTCCTTGCAGACCCTCAGCGCATCAGACCACATGTCTGCCTCCTGCGACAATTTATCTCATCATTAATTAACTCTTAATAAGTAACTGTTTATAAATTTATTAATTAACTATTAATTTGCTCCCAAATTATCACATCACATTAGATGCATTTAGCTGTCACATACATCACATGCCAGATGGGTCTTTACACATCCAGAGCACATTTATTGACCATGGTGATGTTTGCTTCTCATCACACTGGGTCAGTTTCTAGTAGCCACCAATGAGACATGAAATTATTATTGATAACTACATAATTATCGAACTCACCTTCAGATGCTACTGTGAAAAGCAGCGAACCAACGTGACCCACCTGAAGAAGCTCTACATGCAACTTTGGTTGGAGTATCAAAGGCTCCATCATCACACCGACCATCTCAACAGCGCCAGTTGCTCCCCAAGCACTCCTGGATGTAGTGAGCTGCAGCTTCAGCGCAGAGGACAAGGCATGCAGCGGGGAACGTTGCAGCTGCAACCGTGCAGGCCTTTCATGCACAGACTATTGCAAATGCGAGGGAGGAGTCGCCTGTTGTAGTCAATTCACGAAAAATCAGATTGACACCGAAAACAATGAAGAGGAGCTAGGTGTAGAAGGAGACACTGACAATGATGATGATAAGGATTGAGGAATAATGAGGATGAGGAGTCATAGAGGATTGTGACAACTACTGTTTATTGTGTAGTGTTTAAGGCTGTTTGCCATTTTCTCGTAGAAATATGCCTATCTACTATCTATAAACAGTGAATTTACATTAAAGTGTCTTATTTTAACCGTTGACCTTCATTTTGATCTTGACCTTGACCCCATATCCAAAAAATAACTCCAGAAATAGACTCCCTGCCCTCGAAAACCCTTAAAAAGAGGTATTGCACGACACTCTAGGACATCGAGACCATAAATTGTAAATTGACCAAAATCCAAAATGAACGGTGGCGGCCATCTTGAATTCCAAGAAATGCTCAACGTTGCACGGGTAGCAACCAAGCTAAATCAACTCTCCTAACTATATAGAACACATTTCCATGAAAAAAGTTTAGAGTAATTAACATTGCAGGGTCAACATATAGGAGATATAGGGCCGGCAAACCGACTAATGATCCTAGATTCTCGTACCAACCTGTAAGATTTAGGTGCAATGTAGAATGGCTGAAAATGAGGTTTACCTGGAGATATAAAGCACTTGTTATTTAAGTTTACCTGTAATGTTAGGTATACCTATAAGGTGAGTTTACCTATGACATAGGCTGCAAATTAGATTTACCTGTGCTGCAGAATCATACATCTGAATATCCAGCAGTCTCTGCCCGGCCACGCGAGCAACCTCCACAGATTTGTCTGCTGGCAAGAACTTCAGCCCAACCTCTGCTGCCTGCACATACAATGAAACACGGCCCAAATTACAAAATCCACTATCTTCTCCCCCTCAAATGAACCAAAAATGTCTATGCAGAATTGTCTGTATTGGTGTCTGGAGAGAAGCTTAATACTACTTATCAGCAAAAGAAGCTGTCCATACGAAGTGAAAACCAAACAAAACGAAAAAAAGGGGATGGAAAAAAAGAAAAGAAAACCCAAACAGAATCGTTTGTACAAAAAGCCTGGCTACGGAATGCAGCACCAAAAGTATCTCTGTGTAATTGAGCCCAGCGAGCTAATGAGCTTGACGAACACAGATCAGAACGCACATCTATGCCTCACCTTCATCGCACACTTCTCCACCACGCTCGTGTCCTTGGTGACTTCGGGTGTGACCTTTAGGTAGCAGTCGATGGCGCGCAGGTACTCCCCGGATGACTCCCACTCCATAGCCTGCACATTGAAACATTCGCTGAGACCGGGAACATCCAAGATGGCAAACGTGATGAACAAATTTATGCTTTATACCAGATTTTTAACTACATAGCTGCACAACAGGCTGCGTAGATGTCCCTCTTACCGTTTACTTAGAGACAATATTAACGGCACTAGTGTAGGTTATATAGTAACCAAATGAAAATGTCGTTTACACTCAAATGACACGTTTACACCCCAATTACTTTGTTTACGACTGTGTGATATCGCCATCACACCATTATGATATTATGTTCTCAATCATGTGATATTGCAGACAGCCTCTTACCTGAGACAGCAGTGTTTCTGTTGGGTACTGGGGCGAGGGAGGGGTCCCAATACCTGCGCGTTAGCCGGACAGCCATGCTTCACGTACAGATCCATTGCTTTCTCGACATTGTTCTCCTTTATGAGCTGGGTTGCGTACAGGGCCACGTACTTGTGCAGGATCTTCGGATTCTGAAACGCGAGACACAGAGACACTGCAGCCACTCACATACATACTTATATAACACGTACTAACGTAACAATTTACTATTATAATTTAATTATATTTCATTATTATTATTATTATTATTATTATAGGATTATATTAACTAACCTATACGTCTGGAGCGAGTGACAGGTACCTCTAGTCTATCAGGCCTGCATGGCATTGCAGAACTTTTCATGCGACAGTAATTTGCCTTATGCCTCTACTACTCGTAATGAACGCGACTTCCAAACACGGAATCCCGATCACGCCCTGAGTGACACTCGCCGCGCTGGGTCGTGAGTTGCTTTGCAATCTTCTTCCGCTCACCTGCTGCTGGGCCGTATCGATGGCCTTGTCCCACTGCCCTCTGTCGACGTACATGTCGAGTGCGGCGATGATGTCCACTCCGGCGAGCTGTTCAGCCTTGCCCTCGTTCTGCAGCTTCTCTCTGTAGCGGTCGTCGACATAGGCCTCGAACCTGCAAGGTCGGGCAAGTCTCCGGGTTACCTCGACAACCGCGTTCGCTAATAGATCCGCGCGTCAAAGTTACATGTGCTCGCAACAAAGTAATAAAGTTATAAAAAATATAATAAAGTTAAAGTAACAAAGTAATAAAAATACAAAGTACTCGCGAACATCGCGCTCGTTTCGTGAGCTGCTCATCTACGAACACTCACCAAGACCGAAAATAACGATTTTGGTTCACATGTTGTTGTACATGAACATCTACTACAATTTATCATCCTCCACGTTCATGCAAAAAGGACGGTGTGGGTTACTGAGACACTTCATTTCACATGTTATGTGTCACCTTGGGTCGAGTTCCTTTGCAATCTTCTTTGCTTTGTTCCATTCTCCTCCTTCCATGCAAGCGTCAATGGCATCCTTTATCAGGTCGGCTCCCAAATAAACCTGCAAGTTTTCAATTTAAAAGCATTACATTACTATGGGAGTGTCACGTACCCCTTACCTCTCAAACAGCAGGCATTCTATGGACTGATGCATAGACTTGATAAATTAGTGGTGATAAAACTGTTTACAATTCGTTAATACCACTACTGATTCCTTGCAAAGCGATGTAAGCATGATTACTACTTTTCACAGATTGAAGACTCTGAGATTGAGGCACTTTCATTCCTAAAACATGAGAGAATAAAACATTCCATGTAGTCCAGTTGCCAAAATGTTGACCCTGCAATGTTAATTACTCTAAACTTTTTTTATGGAAATGTGTTCTATATAGTTAGGAGAGCTGATTTAGCTTGGTTGCTACCGGTGGAACGTTGAGCATTTCTTGGAATTCAAGATGGCCGCCGCCATTCAACTTGGATTTTGGTCAATTTACAATTTGTGATCTCGATGCCCTAGAGTGTCATGCAATACCTTTTTTAGGGGTTTTCGAGGGCAGTAATGTAGGCAGTAAATGTAGCAGATTTTGTTGATATGGGGTCAAGGTCAAGATCAAAATGAAGGTCAACGGTCAAAATAAGACACTTTAATGTAAATTCACTGTTGTCTTCTTAATGTTAATGATTCTTTTCTTAAATATACTTGTTAATTATCTAATAATATAGTATATTTATATATAATATACTCAAAATTATGTAGTTATCAATAATAATTTCATCTCATTGGTGGTACTAGCAAACTGACCAGTGTTGCATGAGAAGCATAACATCACCATGATCAATAAATGGTTCTCTGGACAGTAGTACAAGACCCATCTGGCAGTGATGTATGTGCAGCCTAGAATGCCATCTACATGTGACTGTGATAATTTGGGATGCAAATTAATTGTTAATTGATAAATTTATAAACAGTTACTTATTAACGAGTTAATTAATAATATGAGATAAATTGTCGCACGGAGGCAGACATGTGGTACTGATGCGCTGGAGGGTCTGCAAGGACGTGCATTCCCACAAAGTTGGGCTGCATGCACTGCAGCGGAACGAATACCGCACCAGACAGTGCCTTGGTCCGAGGGGCACGCGCGGGCGACAGGAACACTGCTGTCTCAGGTAAGAGGCTGTCTCAGGTAAGAGGCTGTCCAAGAACCCGCACCAGCAAATAAGGGCACTGCCTGTCTCAGGTAAAGCGAGTGCGTGCTACTCAAGCACCACCGCGCAGAAACAGCTGCTGCTCTCAGGTAAGAGGGCTGTCTCAAGTACCGCCCGTGCCGCAGAAACACTGCTGCTCAGGTAAGTCAGGCTGTCTCAAGCTACCTCGCCCACCACAAAAAAACCACTGCTGTCTCAGGTAAGACGGCTGTCTCCCCTCCAAGGCACCCAGCCGCCGCAGAACAGCTGCTGTCTCAGTTAAGAGGCTGTCTCAAGTACGCGGTCGCAGAAACACGCCGTATCATGGTGAATGAGGTCCCTGTCTCAAGTAACCGCCCACAAAAACATGCTGCTCTCACGTTAAGAGGCTGTCTCAAGTATGCGCCTGCGGGGCGAGTGAAACAATGCTGTGCGTGAGGTCAACGAGGCACCTGTGCTAAGTACCCGACACCGACAAAAACACTGCCTGTCTACCGAATGAGGCCTGTCTCAAGTATGCCGGCCCACACAAAAACACCTGCTGTCTCAGGTAAGAGGCTGTCTCAATACCCGGCGGATGTCGCACAGAACACTGCTGTTCTCAGGTAAATGAGGCTGTCCAAGTACGGATGCGGCACAGGCAAAACAAGCTGGGGCTGTCTCAGTAAGAGGCTGTCTACAGTCCCCCGACGGGTCGCAGAAACACTGCTGTTCAGTAAGAGGCGTCGGTGCAAGTATCACACCCATGATCCGAGAACAGAATATTCATAAATTGGCACGTTAATCACGCGTTTGATTGGCGAGTATCACACACAGTTCCCTGAGGTAGTAACAACGCAGTAATTCGGGTACGCCGTGTTAGGCGGCGACTTTGGGTCCGTAGGGCTGGCAATGAGTGCATTTGAGCCGCGAATACACAGCTTGCCGGGAGGCTATAAACTTACATAGTCCGTGGTAATATTTCTCACAACTGGTAAACGTGGGACAGGGAAAGCCGATAAGAGGACATTGCTACGCAGCATGCCTGTGTGGCAGCAGCCTTGTTATGCTAGTTAAAAGGATCGTCGTTATATAAAGGCAATAAATTTGTTTCAATCACGTTTGCCATCTTGATGTTCTCCCGGTCTCAGCGCAGTGCTATTAGATATGTTCAATGTGCATGTGCGTTGTATTGGAAGTTGGGATTGCAGTTTAATCCGATTTCGAGGATACACTGGCGCGCTATTCGACTGCTACTATAAGGTCCACCCGAAGTTCCAAGGACTCACTGGAGCGAGGGTGGGGGCTGGGAGAGAATGTTTGCGAGTGAAGGGTGAGGCAGTAGATGT